TATTATCTAAAAGAATTACATAATTTTTCAAAATAATTCGTTCAGCTTTAGAGACAACATTTTTCCGATTTTTTTTTTTCATACAGAATATGTTATTATACATTTATATGGTTCAACAATTATTACAAAAAATTGGTTTTTATTTAATATCTTATTTAAGACGACTGAATCGATTGAAATTTTTTAATTAAGAAATATCTTTTGCTTATGATCTGTAAGATATAAATATTATTAAAATCAGAAAAAAAAGCTAAAAAAATTTTTATTTTCTCTTGCATAATTATACTGATGTCTGAATTTAAAAAACACAACAAACCAAGAGTTTAACTTTGATTTCTCTTTAATTTTTTACTCAGTTTCGTTATTTATTTGGACATTTATGTAATACTTTTATATTATATGATTTATATAAAAATGTATTCCAACTAGAATAGGGAAGGAAAACTCATATAATGAATAATCAAAAGTGATAAAATCATAGTTGACACCATCAATTTATTCATAAGTTATCAACTTATTCATATTTTGTTGAATAAGTACGAGACTAGTTACAGCCTCGATAAATGTAATAAATTTTTGTCATGCGTAAAAAATACTATTATAACTCGTAATTACATAAGTTATCGATGTGAGAATTTTAGAATCTCCTCCAGCTCCTATTGCCATTTTAACTTTGTTATTTCGATCAATTAGAATCGTTAGATTCATTGATAACTGTGGTCTTTTGACTGCTTCCATATAGTTAAGTTCTTGAGCTGGTACATCGAAGGAATTTTGCCAGCCCGGCAAGCCAAAATTATCCATGGCACTGTTCAAAAACTAAATTTTTTTTTAGAATTTTCCATAAAATCATGCTGATTTGCATATAGTCCATTTTTGATTTGAAGATATTTTTCTACGATTTTCAATTAATAGTTGCTTTAAGCTTTAAAAGTTAAAACGCTTCTTCGATTTTGTAAACAATTGTTAGATAACTACTAGTCTGAGTAATACGATGAAAGTTGTAAGTTGTAGTGATTTCCAGTACATTTTAATTTTTAATTTTATCAGATTCACAATTTTGAAATAAACCATTGATTTAATCGGATCCAGTAAATCATACAATTTATGTAAGCTGTGTAAAAATTAAAAATGGATCAGGAATAAAAAGAAGGAATTAAAAAATACTTAACAGTCAATCGTTGTTTTAAAAATTTGGTATTATTTTATTTCTGTAGTTAAATAGTGAAACAGTTGAGTTTCTGAATTGAGTAGAAAGTCAACAATACATATTTAAAAATGTTAAAAAATTATTCAACCTTGGATGTTCTAAAAAATCTTGAAACGCAACAATTTAATTAAACACTTAGATGTAAAAAAATTTCAGTGTAGATTGCTTATAGAAATTAATCCTCAATTATTTACAGTAAAATGTCAAATAAATGTAAAGTAAATAAGTAATGGAAGAAAACAGTTTGTGATTTAAAAAAGACCTAATTAATAAAAAAAAACTGTACGAATACATTAAATTTCAAAAAATATTCATCAATTAATTAAATTAACATATACATTAGTAACGATTAAAATTCATTCAATTCTTTGGACTGTAATATAATGTAGTATAATTGACAAAATATTGGAAGGTTTCTGATGTACCAAAATTCTTTTCAATTCTTAATATGACAATCACTCTTTGCTAAAAGAGCTAAATAATTCATTTTCTCTATTTCTTGTATTTTAAAAACAAATCCAATAAATTTTTGTGACATAGGTTTACGAATGTTCTCAAAGTTTAAAACCATTGCATGATAAATATCAGATCCTGAACTAAGAAAATGCCTAAGAATACATCATATTTAACTGTTGGAGGTTTTTAGATAAACATATTATACGCATGTACTGTATAAAGAGAAAAATACTAAAAATACTAATTATTATATAAAAGAGANATCCAAAAGAATGTTGGTCGCATTGTGATGTAGACCCTCGTATTGAATTTTCGTCAAGTTGTAACCATTTTCGCACAGCTCTATACTCGGATAAAATAACTCAGCCCACGGAAGTTTTCCGAATCTCTTGTGAGCTTCCCAGTAACCTGCTATCTCGCCGGGTACTGTCATTGCCAATCCACCTTATTACAACATTAAATAAGCTTTACAATAATATATTTTTATACCTAGCTTTTTTAGAGTCCAAAAAATATTTCGAATATTCGTCGTTTCCAAAAAAACTTGTATTTTTTTCTAAAATCGTGTTTATTTCTCTAGAATTAAATATTTACAAATAGTTTTTATGGTATCTCTAAGAATATATATCTATTTGAAGTTTGACACTTCGTTGTATTGCGATTTTAATTGTTCACGTACGGATTCGTGTCGATTCGACACCATGATATGCGTTTTCATTCAATTTTATTGCCCTTGATTCATCGATATCACTCAGTTAGCACAAATTACCTATGTAAGTACATCACTAGCAGCAGAAAAACCTTATTTTGTCTGCTTTTGATTTTCGACCAAACAACCGCATGTTCTTGTTGTTTTCGAACGTCCACCAGATATATTGTACCGTATCACCAGGTAGTTTGGACCACGACATCCGCTCGAAGTACATGGAAGGACATCGTAATTTTACGGATGAAAAAAATTCACAAAAATTTCCCAAACTACTATTGCCTTTGATAATCGTAATTATCTCTGGTTTGGCAACTCTCTTTGAATCACTGCTTCCTCCAACTCAGATCCCAAAGACATCGCCTCCCTTGCGATGGTCCGCGTTCGCGTAAATGGTGCCGTTGCTTTTGGCCAGGGCGCAAATCACGCTGCCACGGTCCCTGTACCTCGCGGTCTTGTGACCGAGGGCTCGCAGCCCGCGAACAACGTCCTTTGGCACACCGAACTCGTAAGCCACTTCCATCGGGAAAAGCTGGTGATGGACGCGGGGCGCGTCGACCGCCTCCTTCAAGGTGTTGCCCAGCCACAAGTATCGGGCTAGTACCTGCAAAGAGTAAAAAATTGGTCAAAAAAGTGTCACATTTTTTAAGAGGCTGTTTAATCCCTATGGGACCTTTCCTAACGAAATCAATCGGAAATCAGCTAAAATCATTCAAATCATTGATAAATGTACACATATGGTATGAAAAAATCGTACAATGGTTTAAAAGAACTTCATAAGATCATAAACTTATTCTAAAATTGTAATCTACGTATCGATTGTAAAAAAATGAATATTACTAACTAGATTCAAAATAAAACGAGGATATTAATTTTTTTTATCAAAACAGTATCATTATTGGAATTTACTGTTGTCACGCGCATGTAATAATTTGGTAAAATAATACGTAAAACGGCCTAAATGTTTCATACAAAATTAAAATCATATAGGACGATTTAAATTTTTTCAGAAATAAAAAAAAAACTCAACGAAAGTACACAACTTTTCTTCGCAAAAATCCATAAAATCAGGATGAAATCATTTTGAAATCATTAAAAAAATGTCTCTTGAAGAGTAAATATATTTTTGTGGTTAACATTGGGATGTCTTACGTAAGCAATGGACGTGGTGATCTTAGTACCACCGGCAGCTCCTATGGCCATTTTGACGTCACCGTTGGAATCAACCAAAATTGTCGGGCTCATCGACGACTGCGGTCTCTTGCCCGGAGCAATGAGGTTATTCTCGCTAGCCGGCAGGCCGAAGTAACTCAGTCGGTCGGGCAGACCAAAATCGTCCATGGCACTGTTCATCAGTATGCCCGTTTGTTCGCTCATAACACCACTGCCAAAACTACAATCACCACGAATTCGTGTGTCAATATTTATGACGAATTTTGCGCTTTGCAATAATCAACTGGTTGTTCAGCCAGTGTCACTCACTAAATGTTAATACTGCTGGTGACGGACACCGCGTCGCCAGCCTCGCTGATCACCGCAATGTGGGCAGTGCCGTGGTCCTCGCGGCCCACCTTCTCGGCCCCGTAATGGGCTGGATCATTCCACGTGCCATTGTCTCGGATCTTGGTTTTTATCGAGCGTGCAAAGTCTTTCGTCGTTATATTTTTGAATAGCTGGAAAACGAGGTTTAACAACACGTTGTCATGTTTGTTTTTGATTCAACTCCAATTTAAATGATGGATACGTTCATGAAAAATGTATATACGTATAGGTTTCGGGAAACGGAGTTTTGTACAATTTTGGGAGACGGGCTATAGTATACCCCACGATAAAACATACCTTTTGAATGACCACTTGGGCCCTTCATATTTTTGTCCATTAAACATTGTTGACAAATCCTTTATCGCGCCAATGTTGTTACTATTGAAGCGAGTAGATATATTACGTGCAATGGAAAATAATAAACTTACCGCGGGCAGCTTGACATCGCCGAGTAGTGTTCTAAAAGCGTAGGCGTATTTGTAAGTCTCTATGATCCTGTGGTACGTTTTAACTGTGGCTTTGGTGCTGTTGATGTCTTTTGGCGTGAAATTGAACTCGTCTAAAACGTTCAGTGCAAATGACAGCAAGTAACCGCTGCCTGGAGCACCCACTGTGTAAACTTTGGTTTTGTCTTTGAGCTCCGTGGTTACTGGCTCCTCCCATTTGGCTCTAAAATTATTCACACATTTATCAATATTTCCACATCCCTCCAATATATTTTCATCACAAAAATAGTCGATTGCTCACTTGTAATTGTTCAAATCTTTCATCGTGATGATACTGCCCCGTTTCTGAATGTCTTCGACGAGTTTTTGGCCCAAGCTGCCATTGTAAAATACTGCTGCATTTTCCTCGGCCAGTACCCTCATAGTCTGACATAATGCTTTTGGCCGAATGTGCGATCCTATTTTGCGAAATGTGCCGGTTTCCGGATCAACGAAAATTTTTCTGAAAAACCATAAATTTTAATACTATATTTAGCACTTTGACAATAAAGTGTTCCAAATTATGCCTTGCTGGCAAACTTGTGGAGACAAAAAATCATAATCTAAAATAATGATGCAGAGTTAAATTACCTCAAAGTTGGATCCAAAAGAATGTTGGTCGCATTGTGATGTAGACCCTCGTATTGAATTTTCGTCAAGTTGTAACCATTTTCGCACAGCTCTATACTCGGATAAAATAACTCAGCCCACGGAAGTTTTCCGAATCTCTTGTGAGCTTCCCAGTAACCTGCTATCTCGCCGGGTACTGTCATTGCCAATCCACCTTATTACAACATTAAATAAGCTTTACAATAATATATTTTTATACCTAGCTTTTTTAGAGTCCAAAAAATATTTCGAATATTCGTCGTTTCCAAAAAAACTTGTATTTTTTTCTAAAATCGTGTGTACACATAAATAACAGTTGTATAAAATGCTCGCTTTGTATTGAAATATTTTTAATAAATTATTTTTCGACGTTAGACGTTTATTTTCATGGAGTATGAAAAGTCATAAAAATTATATTTAGTTAAACAATGAATATCTAACAATAGTTATCTACACATATTAAGTTTTATTCTAAAAACTTACTACATGTAAATTATTAGTTTTATTTTAATTGTGATGGAAAAAAGTTTATATTTTGTTTTTATTTTAAAAATTTCTTTGATAAGCCAATATCTTGTCGTATGAGTACAATATTTACAAATAAAAAAAAACTGCTTGGACTTACCGACACGCGAGGAGTACTCCGCAGTGTTATTGAACATGTATGCATGTGCTGCGGCTGGTGCAACATCTCTTGCATTCAGAACATAAGCTCGATTTGTTTTTTTTTCGTAGATGGTCATTAAAAATCCTCCGCCAAAGCCCATACTTTGCATGTTAACTAGGCCATTGCAAATGAGAGAAGCGATAGCTGCATCGACGGCTGATCCGTTTCGTTCGAGTATTCCTCTGTAACAGTAAAGGTTTTTGTGTAAATTAAACAAATACTCAAAAATAATACTGTTACAAATTCTTGCAAATTTGTTGAATTTGTTATGGGCACAAAAACACTCTACAGCCTTAATATATTAATTGTTGTCGAAAAAAAAAAATTGTTTTCACCGACATCAAAATTACTGTTTTAGCAATATATATACCAGCAACACTTTTCTATCATTTTTATTCTAATTTTTATCACAAGCGCAGTGACAACTTGCTATATTAACAAGTAAAAAGTTTTTAATCGAAATAACTAATAATGCTAACACGCTAACACTATCAAAAAAAAAAAAAAAAATTTTCAAGTATCACAAACCTAAAAAAAAGCTCACTCTCTCTACTCCGTATCAGTCGCAAGCCAAACAGTCCCAACTCACCTGCCAATACCCGCGCAAGGCGCACCATCGGCGCAAACGGCGCCCCGTTTGAACGCCTTGAGTTTGCTCCAGGATGCCGGTGGCTGCTGCTCGGGGTCAGGCGGCACCAGCTTCTCGTCCTCAATGGCATCAGATTTCTTGATCCCAGAATCGTTGCTGCCGCTGATGTACAGCGCACTGGCCAGCACTACCACGAGCAGCATGCCCGCCAGCACGAAGCCTCCTATCATTAGCCGCTTCCTCGATAGGCATGGTCTGCAAATGTTTTATTTATTTTTTTATTTTTTTTTAGTTTCTTTGGTTTTCCTTGGATTAATGTAGGATTGAATAGGACATTGCAGCAACCGTGCAAAACATAATTATCGACTCGTTATCCATCTCTAAAAAATGTTGATAACAGCGCGTCTTGTATTAACTCTTAGCACCAATAGACTGAACAAATGGTGATTCACTGGTATAGTAGGAGGATCGATCTTTGCGAGCGCAGTGATTTTTTTTTTTATCAGCAGCCAATAGATCGAGTGTAAAAAATAAAGTTGTCTAGCGAGCTCGAGTTAAAACTGTACGAAAGGACGGGCAATGAAAAAACGGCAACGGATCGGCTGGAAATTTACTTACCTCGGTCTCAAGACGAAAGAAAATCTGTATCGCAGCAAGCGGGTTTGGATGTAGTAGTAAAATACGATGGTCAGTATCAAGTGGTAGGTTAGGGTTTCGAGATTCAGGGTGATTTTTGTGTTTTACGCTTCAAATTAATTTAATGTCTTGCAGTTGGAATTTTTTTTTTTTTTTTTTTTTCTACGCGTTCAATGAAACATTGGAAGACAAATTTATTCTGCGAGTACACCGTAAAAACTGTGAATTTTTAGAGAATGTATGTTGACCATTAGAGTTTTGGGTTACTTTTTTGACTCTGAACTTAGTGACGAATCGGTAACTATTTCCATCGCAGTACAGATAACGATCTCGATTGTTTGGCGAGCTTTAACGCGGCAAGCACCTAATACCTTACATTTAAAATCAATGGCACGAAGTGTAAGAAGCCAATGTGCATTTGCATGAAGATAAAAGCAAGTAAAATCTCTATAATTCATCATCGGCTTATTGAGACCTTGCATCTTGACTTTTTTTTTTTTTTTTTAAGTCTAGAGGACGACGATCGCTGTAGATGTACACACGAATGCATCACGCCGCGGTTGACGATAATTATTCCCCTCTCTCCCTCTCACCCGTTCGTTTCTGCGGTTATTCGTGCACAGCGCTCTCACTGCAAGTATATGTAAGAAGTGTGGACATAAAATATCGTATATCGTGGGACCAGCTGCTTCGACGATTTCCTTGCTCGGTGTGTGTCATGCGCGAGTGTGACGATCGGTAAATAAAAATAAAAAAGTTCGCTTGCAAAAGTGTTCGTCTGTGATTGTGTTGCAATTTTATCAGTTTTATTTCTTTGGCTGACGAGGTGATATCGAATGTTTTGAGTGGCAGTCGTCATTATTCCGACGAGGATACCGTTTGAATTTGGTGCCTCGAAAGTAGTATATTTAAATGATAGAGGAGGGCTTCGATGTTTCAATATTAATTTTTTTTCTATTCGTGAAAATACATTGATGAGCAATAAAATTATTTCTTCGTTCAGAGAATAGTTTTGTGCAAGTACTTGGATCTCAAAGTGCATACTTGAGCTTTTTTTTTTTTTTTTTTTTTTATTTTTTTTTTTTNTTATTGTAGTTCATTTTTGCTTAAAACAATGGTAAAAAGTAATACCAAAGTATTATTGTTCTCTACGTGTGTACAGTACTTTTATTCAACTAATTTTTTAAAATTAGTATTAAAATCACAATGGTCTATATTGTTATGCGATAAAATCCTTAAAAAAGTTTTTTTTTTCGAGTTTAGATTCAACATCTAACTGTTATTTTAAAATTTAAGTTGTTATAAAATATATGTACCAATATTAAGTTATAAGTAGAAAATTGATGCTTTTGATTACAATATCAACACTCATGGAAAATATCAAGATTTCGTGTCTTTGATAAACAATAATTTCGTTATAATCTGCAGCGTCTTTTTTTCAATTTATGTCGCACATAGAGGTACAGCAACAAAACAACACCTCGTGACGATATGAATCTTGATTCCAAAAAAATCGATATAGCATCCAAATAGTGACGTAAAAGACGCCACAAAAGTATCCATTTTTTCACTCTCAACAAAAAATGTAATCTTTGTGAATCGTGCATTTATCGAGTTGGTATTGTCCACGATAACACTAAAAATCTTAAAATTTTTTTTAAACACAATTTTCTACACTTGAAATTTGACAGGTTTAATAATAATATGTATAACACGTCCTGTCGTTACTGAAAGATTCCAAAGACTGACACGCGATATTTTTTTACTCTTCGGATGCTCTCAATTAATATAGACAATTAGAATCTGATTGTTAGTTCCTTGTTATGTTCTTGCAAATTTCAGTCCTTAGCACTTTTATTTAATCTTAGTTTAATCAAAGTTTAGCACTTACGATGGACACGTACATAAAAATGCCGAAACTTTTCTTCCCATTACTTTGAAACTTATGTACAATTTGGAAAGTATGGCATTATTGTCGCAAGTTATCTTATTAGTCTAGTTTTACCAGGAAGAAAATAAATTAATGGTAATTTTCGCTAGAAAATTTTCGCTAGCCAAACACGAATAGCCATTACAAACAAAAACAAAAATTAAAATAGAATTATGTAAAAGAAGTACTTGATCCAGTAACGATTTTTGCCAGTCATTAAAGGTAAAAATTGAAACACGTGGAAAATACTTAAATTCGTAAGTCAACAATACGTCGAGTAAAATCGCACACGTAAGAGCCAGTTATTTAGTTACCACACAGTTGGTGTACGCAGAAAAGCACGTTGATTACATGAAATTATTGCAATTATTCGATGGTATTTAAAAAAATTTTTCAGTAATTTTTTCTTCAACAATTCTATAAACTGTTTTAATAAAGAGGAGATATATTTTTGTTACGTAAATATGAAATACTGTGCCTAAGATACAAATGATATGATGGTAATAATATATTTAGAACTGATGTAATTAAATTAATAAGTTTATTTTAATCTCATACTATAATCAGAAACATTATTTTTTTAGGAAAATCCTAAATATTCAAACTTGGATAGTTTTTTTTCAGACAATATAATGTCTAATAATTCGAATCAAAAGAAAAAAAGAGCACCGTAATTTGAACAGTCTATCAAATAAGATATACTCTGTCATACTAGGTAAATGTAAGTTGAAAAAAAGTTGATTAGTCATTGCCTCGTTGATTCAAAACATCAAAGTCATTTCGCACGCGTAAGAAAATTTAGTAAGAAAAAGATCGGTAAACAATAATTTAATCTATATTTGACTTAAAATCAAAGTCGTGTAGTAAACTCATGAAAACAAAAATACAAGTATACCGACAATGAGTTTAGTGCACGAATGTGGAATCACATGAATTAAAACTCATTTCAACTTTTATTCATTCACTTTTTTTTTTTTTAATCGTAGAATCACCATTTATAATTAATAAATCTCAAAATCGATTATAAATAAAAAATTAAAATTTTTTGGAAGTACAAGATGAAGTAATATATTGTACACCTGTTATTCAAGTTGTGTAAACACTTTCATCTACTCCGTCTCAGCATCACATACCTGTTGCTATTGTGCTCTCGCAAACTCTCGAACTTCAGATTGTTGCCCCGAGCCATGATTCAACGCCAGCGTAGCTCTACTTTTCCACGCTCTCGACCTTTCACTGCTTCCACACACGTATTAAATTATGTAAGCCGACAAAATTTCCCTTAAACTCACAACATTGACTTTAATTTGACAATCACATAATCATTATTATCATTATTTTAATTTTTTTTTTTTTTTTTTTTTTTTTTAAATACAATAACCTGTTTTCTTGTCGTAATGTCGTTCACGTAAGAAACACCACTGCCTTCAAAGTACAATTCATTCGCGTGAGACTCGAGAGGCAAGAAGAAGTAGCGTCACTATGTTACGAATGCTTGATTTGGACAGTGCACAGCTAGACATTTTTAAAAAAAATTTGACTGTGGAGATCAGCCTGCGAAGAAAAAAATACTGACATTGAAAATTTTCTCATAACGAACAAATGTTGATTGTATTGTCTGTCACCAACAGGTCCAAACAGACGTAATAATTACGTGACTAATGCAATGAAATACTGTACAATCGTCACGTAACGCAAAAGCAGCTTGTAATAAATTCAAATTATTTAATTGGTTTAACAAGTTTAAAATAAGAATGTGAAAAAGTGCTAATTTTTTCTTAATTAAATAAACCCTATGAAATCTAATTAAATAACATCAGACTTGGCCAAAGATATTTTATGGAAGCATAATTTTTTATTAAAAGTGTAACGCACTATTTATAACAAAATTTTTTTTTAATTACGACTTATAACGGAGTTCTTAACAAATTTGTTTTCCAGCAATGTAAATGCATTGAAATCTGAAATGGAAAATTATTTTTGAAAAAAAATAAATAAATAAAATAATAGTTGAAGTACTCCAAAAAGTTATTTAAAGCTATAGGTAAGGAGGTGCTTCGCGAGAATGATCAACACTTATTATTTCAAGGACCTTTATTCAAGACACCGTAATCATAGGGATAAGCCAATATCTTGTCGTATGAGTACAATATTTACAAATAAAAAAAAACTGCTTGGACTTACCGACACGCGAGGAGTACTCCGCAGTGTTATTGAACATGTATGCATGTGCTGCGGCTGGTGCAACATCTCTTGCATTCAGAACATAAGCTCGATTTNTATTTTAATTTTTTTTTTTTTTTTTTTTTTTTTTTAACTTTGAAATGCAAAGCCGTTGAGACAAGTATTATGGTACGTTAATAGGCGATACTCAGCGTGCGACTAGCGGATAGCTAAAGTTTCGTGCACCACTCGAGCGTTCAAAAGGAGTCCCGTCCTCTTCCTGCGTCTCTCTCTCTTTCTCTTTATTTTTCCCCCCACTAACACTAGTTTCTGATTTACTGCCCATACGGTTACTTGTAGACGAAGGGGCTCACTTGGCTCGTTGTCGTTCGCACCCTTTGGAATTTCCCAACATAATGATTTATCTATTTACTGCACATCTTCTGCATGACATGGTACTATTTTTGTTTATTATTTCATCAGAATTCCACTTTGCTTATTTTGAAAACTGGTATTTCCCGAAAATCGAGAGATATTCATTCAGTTGTCTTATCATTGAAAATGATTTTTTTTTTTTTTCAACTTCTATGAATGTTTCGTCTTAATCATTTAATTTTTTTTAAAGACAACTAAAACCATCAAAAATAATGTATTTTCCTTTTATTGTCAGTGTTTATGATCTTTTTAATTCATGAGAACTCGTTAATCGTGATTATGGAGACTTTTTTTGCGACTACCCTAAAAATGTATACTTTTATTTAATTGGAAAAATTTATGACCCATATTAAAGTTGAAAATTCAAACGTTGTAGCTTTTATTTTCTAAAGAAAATCATAGCATACTTTATGATAAAATTCACTTTAATACTAAATAACTAATCTATAATTTGCTGACGAAATTCCAAAATTGAGGAAGCCCAACATATATCACGTCAAAACGTAATGTGTTTGTACAGCACGTGTTTGAAAAGCGACCGGGGAAACAGTAAGAATAATCGTCATTGGTACTTTTAACGTAGCAACACATAAACTTCCTCTGGTCATTCAGAATCGTACGAACAACAATAAATCATTTTAATTTTTAGTTTTGCGCAGTAATGATTGCATGCCTAATTATTTGTTTAAAAACTGTAGCTCCACCATTTAAAATGTATATAAATATCTAAAATGTTTCAGATTTACTACTAGCTTGGTGTGACAGCTTTCTAAATCAAGCGTCATTGGTAAGTTCTTTTTACAAAATAAAAAAATATTTTCTACTTAAAAAAATATCATCAAACATTTTACCTAGGTACACTGAGAATTAACAATTTGGTTTATTTAGTTATATTAATATGGTTTAGCAATTGCAAATAATTTAAATTCAAATCATATATAATAAATGATGCAACCCTGGTAGAAACGTTTCTAGCCAGTTTATGTAGTAATTTTCTACCAGGGAAGTTGCAACTTTTGAAAAGTGCAACACTGATATTATTTTACCAGTAGGGATCGTATGGAAAATTACACAATTTTATGATTACTTATCATTGTTTTATTATAGACAACATACTTAACTGTTAATACACTCAACAAACATACTTTTAAACAATTTAAACGTCATAACGCTATCTCGAGCTCAATATATGAATATATTTTTTTTTGCTTTATTTGTATCCTCGATAAGTCCCAAGCAATAACAATTACAGTGGCGTGATTTTTATTTTATCTCTTCTTTATTCGTAACAATTAGGCATTACAAAGAATGGCCCACGCATTTTAGGCTTGTATACGCATTATACACGTTAAACTGGATTGTACTTATTGAAATACACATGCATAAACGTCGTTTTATTTTTAACACGTGCTCACGTTGACTCCTAATTGACTAGTGCTTCCATTAAAACTTTTTATAGTGTAATAAGTGTTTGCCAAATGAAAAATATTGATAAAATTTATAAAAGAATTACTTTTCTACTCTTTATGGCATTTTCTGTAGTTCAAATCAAAAAGATAAATATTAGAAAAGTTTTTGTAGAAATTATATCGATTATTATCTGGAAATAACGTGCTTTACACTTTTTTAGCATCAAATCAGTTATTTTTTACTTCATTTTAGTTTTAACTAACAAAACACTGACTAGAATTTAATTTCTTTCAGTGCAAATAAAACACTCACGATACTTCATGATCGTGCATCATAGAGATTACAAAAAAAAAAGAAGTAATCATGTAAAAATTTGTTGAGTGCGAAAAACGTTCATACTAGAAAAATTTAATTCATTTGATTCATTTTTAGATGGTATACACTTAATATTAAACATAAGTCAGAACTTTTATTCTATACTTTAAAATTGTATGAAAATTTCAAATTTTTAAAACTCAATAGCTGATGTACTTAATTTGAAGTGAGCATAACAAGAAAAATGTTAAATAATCTACATTGTAACGCATGTAAATGTTATATTGTAACACATAATTATCGAAAATGAAAATATACAAAAGAACGGTTATAAAAAAGAAGTATAAAAATATTTTGTGTAAAAGATTGTCACGTATGCATAAGTTTTTAATGATTGTATAAAGTATGTAAGTACTTTTATTCTTACACATTCTAATTACTGACAATACCAGCACATTTAATCCGCATAGTTCTCGTACATTTTTTGTCATCACACAATTAAACTAAATCAAGTTAAATATACTACGCTGTGCAATTTTTTCTTAATTATTTTTAATAAACTTATCACTCTCAGAAAAATACCTATCTTAAAAAAATGATTTATACAACTTAAACAAATTTTAATATTTAACCCATAATGCCCATTTTCTGAAGTATAATTGCTTTTGACACACAGCTTCACTTGTGTTTTTTCATGTATTTGTAATTGTACATAGTAATAATTTTTTAATACAATTTCGTAACAAAACATGACATTTTTTTTACGACACAAAAACAGCAAATACAGAAAATATTCGCTATTAACGAGAAATAAAATTAAATGTACAATACATAAATATTTACATAATGTTTATTTAAAATTGTAGCAGTACTTTGTAAATAATCATCGCATATGGTGTTTATTTATATACAAAATAAGGTTTCTCATTTTTCGCCGCACCTCAAAAACAATTAGAAAATCTTGCAATTATTAAAATTTAAACTTACGATCGTACTATTAAGCTTATTAAGTCATTGAATATGAGCCACCAATTTGTTATATATGAAAATAATACATTACGCGTGTATCATATCATCTTCATGTATTATTAATTTTATACAGTACAATATAATTGAAAATATTACATAATTATGTATTTTTATATATTACATTAATACGATATTTATATAATGCATTGTAATTTAATATATCATAATGTATTAATTAAATGCGCAATAGTTTCTATTTTTGCAAGCTTTTCTTTGTTTAATCGTTCCATTCCTTTCCCGCGTTTATTGCAATTATCTTCGTAAAGCTGTCGATCGGTTAGTTCATTTAACGATCGTTGTCGAGATCTGTGTGTCTGCGGTGATGTCAAATGTGGAAAATCAGAGAACGTAATCTGCCCGATTTGCAAATAATAATTTTTCACCCGGTCAATCGATTTTTCAATCTCTTTCTGCAGCTCCGATCGCAATACAGTACACATCCTCTCAGCCAAACAAAACGAAGGATACATTATCCTGCCACATTCACCAAATGGGCTCTCTCACGTTGAATGCATCTAAAGCAACTCGCGAAAGGAATGGATAGTGTCGCGGGCGATAAATTTATATTTACTCCATCAGTGCCTCTCGTGCGTGTACAGCCTCCAGCTAGCCGCTTTTATTGCTTTTCCTTGCGCCTTTCGTTTTGTATTGGTTTTCCTGAGAGACCCGACGACTGACAAAAAAAAAAAAAAAAAGGGTACTTCGTGTCGATGAGGTGGTCTGATTTCATTCAGCGTAAGTGGAGAGCTGAATTTAATTACTAGAAATCATACAGTAGTTTTGTGTCTTTTCTTTTTTTTTTTTACTTGATAGATTCGCGATAAGTCGACTGAAAAATGTATTTCAAAATTGTCGATTTTTGAAAAATAATTTTAATGTCTTTTGTTTCTTCGTATCTTTCAAATTTTACGAAAATGAAACAATTCTCACAAGACAATAGAATGAAACTTCAACATCGCGCTATTGAGTCTCTAAGCTATTCGAAAAAATAACATTTCTAGAGACACGATCGTTCTTGTCTATGTTATCTGTAAACAAAACAATTGTGTGTGCACCTCGACAACGATCTCGAAAATCTAAGAAAGGTATAAAAAAAGCAAAATGAACAATTTTACAGTGAACTGCACGATGTGTACACAACATGAGCTTTTATATTGCAACGCTATTTTGTAATCACACTTATTGAACTTGTATAACAAGTTCGTACTATAGACGATCCAACTCATGGATAAAATGTCAGATTGAATTTATGTGAACCTTTTTTACGAGGAACGGGACATATTCTTTTTTTGCCTATTCGTGAATAATGACTTTTCAAATCACCAAAATTATATAAAGTGAGCCTAGATGATATACGTGGACATTATTAACTGTATTTAGAAAAAGTGGTTTGAAAAATGCAATTTGCTTGTAAAATTGTAGGTATTATTATGGACAGCCTCTGAAACTATTTAAAATAAAAATTTTTCAGCATAGAAATAGAATTCCAAGTCCCAAATACAATTTTTACAACTTATACGATTACATTCTAATAACTGCTGCATTTATATAAATTTTTAAACTCGCTCCCAAAATACACCATACTACAACTGATTTATTTTTCAGAACGAATACTGGATAGATAAAATTTTTTTGATGCCAGACAATTATTTTTTTTTGTAATGTACTTTAATGACACTATCACATTTCTTACTTCAAGTACAATTCAAAAGCACAACTATGCAGTTCATTAATTTATCATTTATTGAAACCTAAAAGAGGAGATTCACGTAAAATTTACTTGACATAATATCCTGAACTAGATCAAAAAACTGTACATCTATAACGGCACTGATAGAAAAAGCAACGGTTTAACTACATTATACGTGGAGATAAACACAATATATGCGTGATTTTGTTTACGTAAAATCATCGCTTTTATGACCATTTGCTCATCGAAAGATCACATAACGATTTGTAAGGGCTCTCTTTTTCGAGTTATCGATTGGCCGACCCGAATACAATGGAAGTACAAAAATATAATGTTAGGAGGATATGTCAATGTTACAGTAACGGCGTCAAGTCGGGACGATCGTTTTTGTAATCATATTATTTATTTGTATTTATTACTTATTTTTTTCTTCTTTGAATATGCTATAATGTACATAGGAATGTATCTCAGTGTTACTCTTATTTCATTCATACAGAAAATTTTATTTATTGTAACTTTACGTATAGGTACATCATGTGCTTGTGTCGCGCTCTCGTAACTTTATTACGCATCGAGGAACAATTTTTTTGGTACACATATCTGTACGTAACTATAAAAACAAATAATAGTTACTTTAATTGTACTACAATAATTTATACATTTTATTGATTCAATTGTACTCATAATATTTTGTTTTTATGGCGTCATAATGGTGTCGTAATGAGACTAGTTGTAGTTTAAAGCTTTTTTATCTTATTGGCTGTTTGGTAAATCATAAATTTGTAGTACTTTATGTTTCGAAGTTTCTTTTAATTTTTACGAAAATATGTTCTTTCTTCGTAAATTTTTCATTTTTGTTATAAATTTACCTCTGTTTCTTTATTTTTTGTACCAAAATAAATATTATAGATTTAATGACTGATTAAAACGAAAAGTTTTTCTGTCTAGATAAATGATGCGATTTTCACATCTTTTGTTAGATACAAAAATATGTTTTCAAGGTACGAACTTCTCAAAATACACTTTGTTATACATCTCGTCTAATGTCAGTTTTCGTCATTAGTGAAACTTAGCAGCTCCATCTTTTCTAACGGTTGAAGTTTCACGTTTAAATCTACGGTTACTTGTACACACTCAGTTATTATAAAGGCCTTACTCATTAAAAGGGGACGTAAATTTATTATTGTAACAAACAAGACGTTGAACCAACTACTATGTACACGTGAACGTATAAAATTGAAAAAAAGAAAAAATCTTAAAGATACTTACATAAAGTTGTTTGTTTATTGGAACGAAAAAAAAAAAAAAAAAAAAAAAAAACGGAAATAAGTGTGAACAAGATATCACATAGTTTTCAGTAAATTTTTACGTTAAAACATGTTTTTTTTTAATCAACTAAACAAATATCGCTTTCATATTGCGTCTACTACATATCATATAGTAAACCCAAACAGATACACATTTATGTAAATTGTTTGATATTTCAATTTAAAATGTCAATACGATTCAAATCTTCATGTCACTCGTGACTATCCCTTAAATACATTTTTACTTGTTTTCAAGCACAACGAAAGTAAAATTTTCTCCTGTGCTTACGCATATAGTATTATATACTGACACTCGAGTACCCACGAAATATCCGAGTTGGTATTGCGTGACTTTATTTTACCTTACCATGGTATACGATAGGCTCATTTACTAAAAAAAATTGAGCAGTATGTTGAATTACAAACTTTGAGGCCCCAGTTTTTTCTTTTGTGCTAATTTTTTTTTTTTTTTTTTTGCACATTAGTAAGACTAAAGATTTTGGAATTTTTTAAAAACTTCGTAATGTTTATATTTGACTAACACAATAGATCTATGTTTAATGTGATGGATGGTTGAGATCATCAATTTATATTTACGTCTGGTATAATGTAATGTATTCCATGAATCACTTCTTTGTTCGCGAGAAAGAGCAATTTTCTGTCATTGAAATATCGAAAATAAATAAATAAGTCAATAATTGAATACAAATTTGGTCATTTAAAAGTTATCATTACATAATTATTATTTTTGACATATGTTTCGATTCTCAGAAATAGCTATTTCAAATTTGACAATCCGTAAACAAAGTGTCCTCAGGAAGTATATATATGCTTTACTGACACAACCACAATTATGACCAAAGTAATGTCAAATGTAAGTTTAAATGAAAATATTCAACGAACGAGTTTTCAGATTCAAGGAATAGCTTTTTTATACCAATTACGAGGACCACCTGCGGAAAACTTACAAAAAAGAAGCGCAGCATAGTCCAAAAGTATACCCAATTAAAATAATCCTACCAGATTTTCGAGCGGAAAATCGTCATCCCTTTGAACTTTTGAATATACCTACCCTCCAACAGCTCTCTCGATATTGTCATGAAAGTTGCAGTTCAAATAAATCGAGTATCTTAAAAAAAAATGTACACTCAAACGAAAAGCTGACAGTGCACGGTCCAGAACCTTACACCACCAACAAAGCGCATACGTATATTTTTGTTCAAGCACGTACATAATATATTATATAATATAATACTGTTTAACCAAAAGGTTCTTCGAAAGTAAGTTACGAGCACAAAGAGATACCTCGCGGAAGCGCACGCGACAAGAGGAACACAAAGCCAGACGATACTGCGCTGCTCGTTATTCTAGATCACGGCTCCCGCGGGGACCCGGAAATCGTTATAACTATTATAGGTACAAGCGAGTTCTCAACCCCCCCGACTATGCCGCTTCCCGGCAGATATATGCACCTATACAATAAGACCACTTGCCCATTTAAATCCACACCGCGGGACGAGTCCTTTTTGCTACTTTGGCTGCCAGCTCGTTGTCCTCGTCGCGCGGCGACAGCGATGGCTAGGAGGTCGATGTCAGGAGGGGCCGTAGCTGCCTGGCGGCTTGTTCCCGGTCCGCTTCGGTTTTCCGCGCGATTCGCGATTTTCGCCGCGAGCGCTGACCTGCGCGTGTCTTTTCCTCCGTCCGGCTCGTCCTGGCATCTCGTCCGTTTTCTGCAAGTGGAGGCGTCGTTATGTACATAATTGAGTGCTCGAACGATGGTGAAAAGGTTTCGGGTCGGATTGATAAAATCAAAGGATCGGAATTGGTCCTGGAGATAATTTAATAACCGTCATGGAGTCTATAGTAAATTTCTTTTTTTTTTTTTTTTATTATTAACGACTAAACGCTTTTGTAAGCACTACCACTTGTTATGACTCTAATTAAATCATAAACCACATCTATGATTTTAATGTTATCTTTGTTACGTCAATAAATTGTTGACCAACGTTTTTACGCAAATCGCAACTCTTAGGCCTTTTTAGTTTAGTTTCGTTCGTAATATACCGTAAACCTCAACTTGAATAATCCATTTTGACTGTAACTGTATTATTCAGTCATTGTGATCTTTTAATCTACCTGTACCGGAAGCAAATTATTATTCATTGCTGTTATACCTGTAGTCACGAACACAAATAGGTATATCATGTATTACAAAGAAAAGGTAAAGAAAAATTATTACCAATCATCGTCTCGGTAATGGGATGCATAAACAAGCCAGCATCGTCAGAGCCCCTCGAGTTATCCTCGGCACCACTGCTGTTCCAACTGTTTGAACTATCACTGCGTGCGTTTGCTTCGCCAGCATCGTTGTTCTCTGGACCAATATCATTACCATTTCCTTCGTTGCAATTAGACTCAAGATCCCCCACCTCCTTCTCCTCCTCCCCTTTTTTTTCCTTCGGATCTTCGTTCTCCTTGACCGAGCCGTTGTAGTCGTTGGTTTCGTCATCGTTGTTGGGGTGCTCTTCTAGCTGATCCTGCAACAAGTGGCCGGGCAGTTGCTATTATATTATTACAAGGCACGTGCAGGTGGTGCCGTTGAATCACGAGAAACCGAGTTTGGGCTTGTCACGTGACGGGACTCTTATTTTACGGGGCAAGGGAAGAAGAAGAAGAAGGCACGGGTGGCGCGCCGGAGTGACCGATGTTTCCTCGTTAACTCGCTGGTGTCTGTCGATCGATAAGTTTCTCATGACCTGTTTGAAATAAAATAGAGGTTCTGAGGTGAAGTGTATGTGTGTGTGTGTTTTTTTTTTTTTTTTTCATTAGTGTGCTGCTAAAGCTGTGTTACGGAAAAAGCAGAGTAGCAGAGGGGGACACGTGGACGATTATTGATGATTTCTTGTAAGCAATAGGTGGTACAAGCTGCAAGACAACATCGTAATGGCATCCATCAAAATGTCAAAAAAATCGTGGAATTCGTTAGTACGGAAGAAATGGTGAACAAGAGAACCTATCAGCTTTGTGGTTAATGGATATTTTCATGTTTAACGAGTTATAGCGCATTCAAACTGATGTCAAACGTGATGAAATATATTTTTTTTACCGTGCATAGTACAGTCAGTTACATAAGCTGAAATTTTTGCAGTTTATCCCTTGGTATAAAGAATGTTTAAAATCTCCTCAATTTCGAACAAAAAAATCATGTTCAAAGTTAAATATAGGCTACACACGGCTTGTGCAACTCACATTATTTATGTTTAGTATTTTATAAACGACATTATAGAGTACAGTGGACATAAGTTTACTCACTATACTTTATAATTCTTTCCAAAAGCCAGTTTTGCAACAACATTGATAATTCGTTAACGGAATGTTGAAAGATTTCGCCTAAATTAAGACATTTTGTTCAAGACTCACGAGTTGAATTCATTTCCAAGAGAGTGAATGTAAACACCAACGTTAGTTTAGACCATAGCTATAAAGCTCTTGAAAATAAATCAGTGGAATAATCGACGTCAGGTGCGACTTAAATTTTATGAAGCTAAAAAAGTAACTGTGAAGTCGCGAAAGTTGTGGAATCGATTGTACATGTAATGAAATGATGAATGTCGAGCTTTATGGTGTAAAGTAGGAGTTGAAAATTGGGAGGTAATATCTCGGAAATCCGACCGACCGAATCATTAATTTTTTACGCCAACGGGACACTTGAAACTCATCGATTTCAACATCAAGCACAACCATATCACCGTAATGTACATACGTAAGTCTCAAAGTACAATCGATAACCCAAAGAAATGGCCACCCCAAAATCCACGAGGATTTATCCCGAGAGACTCACGACGCACTCTTGGACCTTTGCGATTACAGCTCCTTCCGGAAAAGCCCATAAAGCCCAAAAACCGCCGACAACTAAATAAATCATAAGCTTACGTTTCCATGGGCTGTATCGGCACTGGTGGAGTCGCCGGGCCTTGGTGGCAAAGTAGCCCCGATCGCCGAGACGGTGGAGAACACAGCCGCACCCTCCTCGAGAGTCTTGACGCGGCTGATGCGCCGAGGGCCACAAGGCCAGTCGGTCGAGCTTTTGGGATTGGTCGAGCGCTTGGCTGCCTGTTGCTGCTGAAGCCCCGTTGTCCAGACGCTCGCGTCGCTACTCCCGGTGCTGCTTTCGCTTTCGGTGCTCCGGTAGCGCCAGCGGCGCTCTGGAATTTTTTTTTCTTCTTTCATCGAAAATATTGGATGCAAGTTGCGTAAACAGTTTCATCGGCAGTAAAATACTTTTTTTTATCGTTGAATAGCTTAACGATTAAAAGTGTGCTGTGATCCCCTGAGTGAAAGCTTGGCTTGGTTTCATAAACGTTTTCGATTTTACATGATTTCTCGCAACTTCCACTACTGCGCATCAAATAGATCGGCATGAAAAATGTTAACAAAAAAAAAATGTTTGCGCCCCTGATTTTCCCGATAATCCTCTCCCAGTAAATCATTTCGGGCTTGCAATGCATTGGAGAAAATTGACTACACATTCAACAGAGTAATTTTTGAAAACCCCCTCGACTCGGAGCCGATGGGCATTCAAATTGCCCACCCGCACGCAAACCATGTGTATAATATTATATACTCACTCTCGCAGGGTGGTACGGAAACAGGGGTGGCAAAGTGCCGCCTGAGCAAAGGACTAGCACCTTCCTGGCTTTCCTCGCTGTACGCCCGCGTAATCAAGATCCTCGGGCTCTTCTTCGGCGAGGCTATGGCGCCGAAATTGAGGCTGATGTTCGCCGTGGGCGTCGGGGTGTCCGTCATCGTCGTTGCGTTGCCACCGCCGTAGTCGCTACGGTAGTGGACCGCCATCAAGCTCACGGTGCTCGCACTTGATCTCACCAGCCGGCCAGTCTCTCCTGTTTTCGTGGCAACGTTTCGCACTTTATCATTATTTTGCTTCTCGTTGGAATTATTTTTTGTTAGTATAAATAGGAGTTGCTGTGTGTTTTTTTTTTTTTTTTCTCTCTCTCTGATGGACCTAAGATCGGAATATTTGGAATAACCCGCATGCTTTGCAAAGAATATTCTTCCCGTACAAATGTAAGACTCATGCACGCATGTGTACTATGATAAATCGGTCACGTAAAACCACGTTTGGTCACAAGAAGTTGAGCTTCATTCAAATAGTGAAGTTCAACTTATTTCAAGTCTCTAAAAAAGGGAAAATACTACGAGTGTCAAAGCATTTAAAGTACTCTCGTGTTGATTTTTTACTTATTATACAATTATGGTACAGTAGTAACAAAAGTTTTTACTTTAGTTAAAGTTGATTCTGTTTTTTCTGGTAAGTTATTGATTACAAACAATAATTTTTTTTCAAAAATCCAGGCATCCAAAACTATTTCTGAATGTTTAAAATTGAATAAAAATTTTAGGAAACCTTAGGCCATTTAATTGGTAGCGATTAAGTTTCTGGATCGATTAGTTTTGTAAACCCTTGAAAATGTACCACATAATCCTTACACTCATCAAAATATTATCTTGGTAATCTTCCGCCTTTACCTTCATCACCACGTTCGTTGGGCGCTGACGTTATTTTCATTAATCATGTTTTTCGTAAATCCTCGCCTGTTTAAGTGTTTTATCGATTTTGATGTTTTCTACTCTCTCTCTCTCTCTCTAGCCTCGATATAGGTTTTTTTTTTGCGTATACATATAGTTTCAGAAAAAAAAGTCACAAGAAAGGACATTTTAAGCTACATTGAGCTGTATCGCGAGGAAAATATCTCCCTCCGGGATATGTAGCGAACACTCGTTTAACGAAATACACGTAAGTATACGCCCGAGTCGGATAAGAAAATTTACTATTGAATTTCGCAAAGCTTGTTTCGAAGTACTTATCGGGATAAAAACAACTGGATACAGCCCGAGTTTTATCAGTGGAAACGATCGTAAACCAAGTATCGATTGTGCATTTTGGTAGGAAAATGAAGAAAAAAGGAAATTCGCATCAGCATCCACGTGCTTGACTTTTGTTACAAGTAAGTAGTGTAGATGGGCTTTTTTTTAACAACGGCTTACGTGATAAGACTCGTTCGTGGGAATGTGTATGTATATGAAATTTCAAAAATTTTCAACAAAAAACAACATCGATAGTGATAAAAACAATGAAATGCTTAAAAAAAAAAACTCACTTACGGAATATTTGCATGGCCAGCAACACAATCGTGTAAAGTACGTGCTTTATACTGAACAAAAACCGAAACGAAACTGAAAAGAACCAAAAAATAAGGGAAAACTCTTTTAATGTATATCCGTAAACGGGCGATTTTCAATTACAAAAAACAAAAAACCAAAGCAAAACCTCAACAGCCCGGCGTACATGTATAACCGAATAATTATCGATTTATCGCGAAGCGACAAAAAAGCAGCTTGAATTCGCGTCATGCAACAACTCATGCAAATAAAAGCCGAAAGAGCAGTATATGTATGTACACCCGCTACATATGAGCAACACACGAGTGGACGTAGGAATTTCTCGAGGCGGCCGTATATACACGGCTGACCACGGAAAAATGTAGATTACGGCAGAGGCCACACGCGAAACTGCAGGCAAAGATACAATTGTCATTCATCATCGCCGACGTGTGCCCTATTGTCGTGGGGAAAACATGATTTCTGGATAATTGGAGCAACGCGGGTGGCCACGACATGAGCCCCGAATATATATATATATATATATATATGTGTATTACGCAGATTGCGATTACAAGCAGGGGGTCGGTGGATTATGTATCCACGCGGGTACACGTATCGGGGATCGATAGACACCCCCTCGACATGTACCGAGGGCGTATATAGTACCAGACCGCAAGACTCATTCGTGCAGGGCAATGCCAGTGGCTCTGGATTATTGATATGACGGGGCGGCTGGGGGGCAATTAACCGCGACACAGTGTCTCGCACGACGATGATAGCGGTGATAATGGTCGCACTGGTGTATCCTTAAATGACACCGACTGCGCCGATGGAAGACGCGCTCTTGTTATAGAGGATCACCCTGTGAATATGTCTCATCCCTTGGGGAAAAAACCGCTTTTGAATTGAAACATGAAAACGCGTGATTTTGTCGGGGTGATGCTAATGATGATGATAAAATTTTTACAAAGCATTTTATCATGGTAAATCCAAAACTTTAATTATTACTTTTAGACAATATTTTACGCAGCTTTTTTAGGATGTTAATTATGACATGTAGCTATTCGATTCGTGCCATTGTTGAAAAAAAGATGTACACATTGGAAAAAGCTCATAATTACGATTATAACGCAATCAATCGATACCAAAGTTCTAACAAAATTTGAGACTTGATAACGAAAACAATTTTTTTTTTTTTTTTCAGAAGTGTGCGAGAAATACAATTTTATGTGCAGTGATTCCGGGTCATAAAATGCTGTTTTACTCATGAGTGTGCCTAAAGTAGAGCAATGCAGAGCCAAAAAGCACCTGTATGGGGACCTCATATAGCTGTAAAATATATATATATATATTCCGTAAAC